GGTGGAAAGGACCCCACAGGCCCGAAAGCCCGAGAAGAGCAGCCCTTTCGACCCCCAAAGCTCCCAGATCTCCAACGACACGATGTTGTTCAATCACTCGAGCTGCGCTGTCCTCAGTACGGCCCGCTCCTCGTCGTCGCTCGGCACCGACGTCGGCGAGGGGCGGGCTTCCGAGGCGCCTGCGACCGCGGCGTCCGTGGCCGCGCCCCCCGGGGCGGCCGCGGCTGCGCCGGGAGCCTCGCGCGGGACCGCGCCCGCCCGGCCCGAGTCGGCCTCTCCTCCTCCTCCTCCTCCTCCTCCTCCTCCTCCTCCTCCTCCTCCTCCTCCTCCTCCTCCTCGTCCTCCTCGAGCCTCCTCCTCGTCCTCCTCCCTCCCTCCCCTCCCTCCTCCCTCCTCCTCGAGCCTCCTCCTCGAGCCTCCTCCTCGAGCCTCCTCCTCGAGCCTCCTCCTCGAGCCTCCTCCTCCTCCTCCTCTCCTCCCTCCTCCTCCTCCTCTCTCCGTTTCTCGCGCTGTTGCTGCGCTCCTCCTCCTCCTCCTCCTCCTCCTCCTCCTCCTCCTCCTCCTCCTCCGCCTCCGCCTCCGCTTCCGCCTTCTCCTCCTCCTGATGCTGCTGCAGCTTCTCCTCGTGCTGCTGCTGCGCTTCTTTTACTCCTTCTGCTTCTCTTGCTCCTCCTGCTCCACTTCCTCCTCGTCCTCGTCCTCCTCCTCCTCCTCCTCCTCCTGCTCCTCCCCCTCCTCCTCACCTTGCTTCCAAGTTTTGCACTGGAGCCGCAAGGGTCGAGGGGGAAGGTTTTCGGCCTCTTGATGCTGTGATTCTCTGGACTTCAAAAGACTTACACACCGTGGCGAAGCCCGAAGGGGGCGTGGCAAAGTCAGAGGCATTCTAGATGGGGTCGGAGTAGATGGGGTCGGGGGATCGCGCCGCATTCCCGATGCATCGGCGATGCATCGGGGATGCACCGTCGACGCATCGTCGACGTCGGCGATGCTTAAGCGACGTCGACGTGAAGCAAATCGGGCCCTACATCGAGCCGCATCGGCGATGCATCGGCGATGTTGCGCGATCCTCCGACCACATCTACTCCGACCCAATCTAGGAGGCCTAGAAAGGCCCGAATGGAAATCTGGACTTCACGCGGCCCGGCGCTGTTTGGAAAGGCGGTGGAGTGGAGAGGGGCACGGCATGCCATGCAAGCAGCCCTGCCCGAGTCTGGAATGCAGCATAATCTTCCTGACAACTGCGGGGCCCCTGGAGGCCTCCCAGGGCCTCGGGGGGGCCTCGCGGGCTGCTGGGCGCCCCTGGCCCGAGGTGCTCCCGGCTTTTCGCCCGGCAAATGGAAGCCGAAGGGGCACGCAAAGAAGGAGGCACAGATCCCAGGACTCACCTTTTTTCCCCGCACGCTCTGGGTCTTCGGCCTTCCCCCCAGGATTCCCATGTTTTCCCACTCTCGGGGGCGGCCAAGAGGAGGGCGTCCGAGAGGGGGGGGCGCAAATCATGGCCGGCGGCATGTGCGCGGCCCAAGGGGGGGGGGCCAGGGACGTAATGAAATTAGAAGAGGCGCCCTGAAGTCTGGGGACATATCATGAGCCTCGCTTGAGACCCCCCCCCCTGCTCATCACCCCCTTCTTGGCCGCCCCCGATACTTCTGGGAATCGACGATTCATCGTGTCTGTGGCTGTCTTTCCCCCTCATGATGCGTGCCCTGGGCCCTCCTGGGTGCCCTCCGCGTCTCTCGCTCTGTCCCCCGGAGCCCCCTCGGGCCATCCCGGGGGGCTCCGCGGGGGGCGCCTCTTGTGGAGGCCGCGCGGGGGGGCCTCCTCGGGACGTCCTGGGGGGGCACCTTGGGCGGCCAAGGGCGCTTCCAGCAGGAAGTCGGGCAATCCACTCTACATCGGGGATCTTCTGACCCGGGTCAATCCAGACCCGGGCCAGTCAGGCCTTGCAGAATCCTGCAAAATCCTGCACCCAAACCCGGGTCAATGCGAAGGATCCTTCAGGATCCCGCAAGATCCTGCACCCAAACCTGGGTCAATGCGACCCTGGCCCTGCAAGATCCTGCAAGATCGGGCGCTCTGGCTGACCCCCGTTTGCATTGACCCCCGTCTCAAGGCTCCCGACTACAGAGGAGGAATCATCAAGAATAGTAAAAAAAAGTCTGGGGACGATATCTTGATTATTTCTGGCCTCTTTTTTGAGCATTATGGAAATGTTTCTTACGTTTCGTCGAAAATCCGCCTGCAGGTGGACATGCCCGACCTAATTCTAGCAACACCCGGCCCCCTTCTCCTCTTTGGACGCCCGACATAGGCAGGGGAAAAAATTGTATAATTCTCGACAACAAAAGCGGTCCAAAGCCGACAGCGGCCGCTGATGGGCGGGCGGCTTTTTTGTCCTCAGAGAACAACGCCCGCGGCGGCGCGGACAGCGAGTCCTGTTCAGAATGAGCAGGAACTGCTGTGGGGCATCGCACCAATTCTTTCCGTACCTGTTCCGATCGTCCCGATCCCCGTGCTGCTGCCGCCGCACCTCTCTCCATACTGCTCTCGAGGGCGAGCGAAAGGGGGGGGGGATCGCCGGGGATAGCAGAGGGTTGGGTAGAGGATCAACTCACGTCGCTGATTTTCCCAGCGTCTCCCGGCGCCAGGAGTTGCCCACGTATCGAGGAATTGGCCTGGAGGCGGGGCCGAAACCAGCTGCACGCAGCGCACTTCGTGCCCCCCCCTTTAAAGGGAAATTAGGACACACAAATATATACACACAAATAAAAATATCCCCCATATTTCCCCATATTTTCTGGGTTTTTGTCTTCCCCCTCACTTCCCATATTTTCCTATATTTTCCTGGGAGTGGACGATTAATTGTGTCTGTGTGTTTTTTCTCCTCCTGACCCTTTCCCTATGCCCCCCCCCCCCCTTTCGCCCGGCCCGAGGCCCGAGGTGCTCCTCCTCCCGGCCCCGGCGCAGGGGCACGACCGCACCCATGGAGGACCGCCTTCCCCTGGAGGCGCGCCCCCAGGCGACCTCGGGGATCTTCTGACCCGGGTCAATCCAGACCCGGGTCAATCAGGCCTGCAAAATCCTGCAAGATCCTGCACCCAAACCCGGGTCAGTGCGAAGGATCCTGCAGGATCCTGCAGGATCCTGCACCCAAACCCGGGTCAGTGCGACCCTGGCGCTGCAGGATCCTGCAACATCGGGCGCTCTGGCTGACCCCCGTCTGCATTGACCCCCGTCTCAAAGCTCCCGACGACCGCCCCCTGCACGCTCCCCGGGAGGCTCGGGCCTCCCCTCCGAGTAAACTTAAGTCGGGCCTGTCCCTCTACATGGGCCAAAAACTGTGAGGCCTGACTCGAGGACTTTCGATGTAGAGGGCGTGCATCCTCGACAGGGGGGCGTCCGAATGGCCCCATGAGAAGATTCCAACATAGTCAAACAAAACTCCAGGGATGATCTTTTGAGCATTGCTTCAACATTGTTGAACATTTTGGTGGGTATTGTCAATTTTTCCTCCAAGATCTGCCTGTAGGGGGGCACGCCAGATGCCGCGTGAGGCGCCGAGAACCACGGGTGACTTGTCACAGGGCGTCTCGACTCGATGATCCTGTGGTCCTCGCGTCTGCGATGGGCGAGCTGGGCCCTAAAGCAGTGGGAACCACGCAACTTCTGTGACAGCACCTCGGGTTCCGGCCACAAGGGTCTCTTGCTCCTCGTCCCGATGGCGTGACGGCCAGACTGGTTTGGGAACTTGCTTATGGACCGTGGCCCCGGGGGCCAGACGCTGATCAATCCCAAGACCTGGCCCCAGATCTTTGGGGCACATCATGCCATCCTCATCCCCGCTGGCTCCTCCGTTCCCGACCTCCTCCTCCCCTCCCTCCAGCCATCATCCTCAGGCTGTGACCACTCAGGGGGGACGTTAGGGGGGACCAGCTCAGAGGAAAAATATCGACCTGGACCCGGCGATACATCGCCGATAGATCAGCGATAGGCCCCAGATAGCCGCACGGTCCTAGGCGGAGTGGGCTGTCGGTCCCCCTTCAGCGATGAATGGGCGATTGGAGGTCGATCACCCCCCCCTGAGCGAATCTCCCCCGAAAGTTGCTCCTGGGTGTTCGGGCCGTAGCTCGGTTCTCTGGCGGCCGTTCGGGACGATCCGTGCACCCTGGGAACGCTCTCGGCGCAGCTGCTGGAACGCATCCCGAGGCGAAACCGATGGGAATCGACAAGAATCTAATGAACCTCGCGGTTCGAACCTTCCCCAACCTCCCCGAGACGATTCCCCCCACGACGTTGTCCCTGGACCACCCCTCTCTTTTCTCCGCCACCGCCTCCCGTGCACCACACGTCACCCCCTTCAGGCTTGGCGCCTTACGTGGGTCTGAGCAGATGGAGTCGGAAGGTCGCGCCACGTTGCCGATGTATCGCTGATGCGTCGGCGACGTTGGCGATGCATCAGCGCAGCTGGCGTGAAGAAAGTCGAGCTCCACGTCGAGCAACATCGCCGATGCATCGGCGATGCGGCTCGATTCTCCGACATCGTCTACTCTCTCGCCTCCGCCAGCCAATCGGGGCCGCTCTCGTGGGCAAAATACATATCCGTATCCGCTGCCTCGCGGGCCGGGCCCCTGGGCCGCGACCCCACGGATACGGGGCGTTTTCTCGCGGACGCCCCGCGCGGAACGTATCCGTACGCCCGCGTATCCGCGGGACCGCGCCCCGGAATCCAGTCCGCGAGGGCGCGGATGCGGATATGCTCGCCGCTCGTGAGCGGTGACCCTCGCTGGATGCTGGTCGTCCTTCCTGGGCCTCCTGGAAGCTCCTCGTCACCACGGCAGGGTCCGCCTCGAACAGCGGGTCCGCGCGCGGATGCGGATACGCCCGCCGCTCGTGGCAGATCCCGCACACCCCGCACACCGCGCTGCAGGCCAAGGCCGCCCGGCCCCCTCGCCCCGACGCCCCCCCCAATCAGCCGGCCTGCCGCAGGCTCGCGGGGGGCGGCTTCACCTCGGGCGGTGGGGACTCGCTTCTGGGGGCCGATCGCCGATCGATTGATCGATCGATGGTTATCATCATCCTCATCCTCGCCCTCACCCTCACCCTCACCATCACTATCACCATCACCCTCCTCCTCCTCCTCCCCCTCCTCCTCGTCGTCGTCGTCGCCGTCCATACCGTCCTCATCGTCCTTATCGTCCTCATCGTCATCACCACCACCACCATCACCATCACCGTCACTGTCGCCACCATCACCACCACCATAATCACCATCACCATCACCACCACCAACATCTTCTTCTGCCACATAAGCGTCATCATCAACAACAGCAACATCGTCAATAGCAGCTTCGTCACCATCAGCATTATCGTTGTCAGCATCATAATCCATCACCATCACCATCACCATCACCATCACCATCACCATCACCATCATAATCAACAACATCATCATCATCATCATCATCATCATCATCATCATCATCATGATCATCATCATCATCATCATCATCACACTCATCACCATCACCATCACCACCATCATCACAATCAGCATCATCAACATCATCACCATCATCAACATACTCATCATCAGCAACCTCATCACCATCACCACCATCATCACAATCAGCATCATCAACATCATCATCATCATCATCATCATCATCATCATCATCATCATCACAACCACCATCATCATCATCAACAACATCATCATCATCATCATCATCATCATCAATCTCATAAACTCGGAATTGGGCGACTCGGGTTGTCCTGACGGGGCCGTCAGGAAAATGACGAGACCCAGTGTGAACTTTGGCGCGGACCCCCGCTGCAGACATCTCATGACACCTGGAGCGTCGAAAACCAGGACGGGCCCGCCAAAAAGCGTCGGCACACCCGAGCTCCAGCGAACTCGAACCTTACGCTTCCCCGACCCTCGCCGGAGCGCCCTGCCAGCGGGCAACGAGGCCCAGCGCACGGCCCGACTGGAAGCGGGGGGGCACATGACGGTATTTGGAGAGCACACAAGAAAAAATAACAACGCCAACCAGCAGCGGTATTGCATTTGTCGCATGGACTCCACGCCTGCACTCTGTATCTCTCTCTGTCTCTCGTTATCGTTTTTTGTTTGTTCTCTCTCTCTCTCTCTCTCTTCGGAGTGTGTATGCATGCATATACAGTTTTACACGGGTAGATCCTTATATGCAACACACGCACATTATCTGTTTACCTGGTATGCCCTCTCACCTCATTATGAACTCCATTGTCCCACACCTGCTCCGATATCTACATCTACGCATACACGCATATATTCGACAACTGGAATACATGAACACATTGAAACTTGCACGATATGCACCAGTTGCTTGTAAGTCTCTCTCTCTCTCTCTCTCTCTCTCCCTCGGTTTTCACCCCACTTCGCCCTATGCTCACTGGAATGTCCTTTCAAATTATATATGGAGAGGCCGGTTCGAACACCCCCCCCCGCCCGAGAAAGGCCGCCCCCCAGGCCTGTTCGAACTGGCCCCCCTCTGCAACTTCGGGGGGCGGGGCCTGGGTCGAACAGGAAGATGACGACACTTGACGCGAAGTAAAACAAAAAACCGTCAAAATTCAGCACGGGCCCGTCGAAAAGCACCGGCAAACCAGGGCCCTGGCGAACTCGAGCCGTGCGCTCTCCCGCCGAAACTTTACACATGCACCGATCCTGGCCAGGGCCCAGGAGAGCCTCTATATGAGGCGAGGACAGAACGACGACAAATTCGGGCGAGGATATATCGAATCTCGGAGATCCGGCGGCTCCGGAGAATGTCTGCGGCACCGCGGGCTTATCAGAGCGCTCCGGAACTCTCTGAGAGCGCTCCGGAAAGCTCTGGAACGGCCCTAGCCTCGTCCGACTGCACCATTTATGAAACCCGTGCCGTGGAGCAACGTCTGGAGGGCGACCAGCTCTGGGGGAGCAACGGCGAGCTGCAACCGAGGATACATCGCCGAAAGATCGGCGATAGGTCCCAGATAACGAATCCGCACCTTCCTAGGCGGCAGTGGGCTGCCGGGCCCGTGGGCGGCGAACGAGGGCAGAGACAGCCCCTCCTGAGACGATCGGCCCGAACAGCAGTGCCCCTTGGTGCTCGGGCGGCCTATCGGGACGACCTGGGCAGCCCCAGACACCCCTCGGCGAGGTGCAGCTGCTGGAGAGCATCCCGACGACTGGAAACCGAAGAAAACGCCAGCAAGCCTCGGAGGAGTCGGTGCATCACCCCCTGAGCCTATGCCCCCGGGGCTTTGGTGTTTGCTCCTTGGGAGCCTGCGTGGCGCCAGGCGCTGACCGATATGGGCCTGATTTGGAACACATTTGGGACTGGATTTGGACAGGGTTCGCCATTTCACAGGGCAGACGAGGAGAACGAAGAGGGGGAGGAGGAACAGGAGGGGCGAGGAGGAGGAGGAGGAGGAAGAAGGGACAGATGCGGTCTAAATGCAGCTGATTCCAAAGACGCCGCCCAAGGCTCCCATGAACAGATATCGAAGGGGAATGGGGGCGGGGGGGGGGGAAGGGCGGGGGATAGAGGGAGAAATCCGCCGACAGAAAGAGAGGTTGCCAGTTGACCGAGGGTGCGGGGCCCCCTCAACTTGCCGAAGCTAGATTATCTCCTCGTGGAGTCCGCGCGCGCCGTTCGAGCAGCAGCAGGATCTCGACACGTCGGATGGGCCTCTGCACTGACCTCTCCCTTCAGGGGGAAACGAAAAACGCCACCCAAGGTTCGGATGAACGGACATCGAACTACCCGTCACCTGGAAGAACTGGGTAGAAACACGAAGCAGGAAGGCGGATAATCATAGCAGGTCGGGTTCAGGCCCCCTCAGAGAGCAACAATAGAGCGAGCACAGCAGAAGCAGGTCGGCTCTTGAAGTAGGGAAGGCGCTTGCAGTAAAGTGGAAACTGGGGCCTGTCCTCCTAATTACAGGGGGAGTTTGGACGAACATTAAACATATGGAAAAAAACAAACACAAAATGGTAATACAAAAAACAAAATCAAAAACAAAATAACAAATCGTCCCCTGACTATGTTTTTGACCATTTTTGGATATTCCTCCTGTCGAGGGACAGGCCCGACCTACACCTGGGAGTCCCAAAATACCTACGTACTTCCAGCGACCGGCGTGCAGCGCTGCCCCACGCCGTGCCAAGGGGAAAAAGGGTGGCGCCCTCCGACTCGGGAGACTCTTCATGGGGGGGGATCCCATGGGGGGATAGGATCCCAGGGGGGGATCCCATAGGATCCCCCCCCATGGAGAGTCTCCCGACCGACGACCGGCGCCAGCGCCCCGCCCCGGGCGGGGGCCGGTCGCCAGCAGGGGCGACTGCCTCGCCTGCTCGGCGGGCGGGCAAGCCGCCTGCCGGGGGGCCGGGGGCCACACCGGTCGGGTGCTGCCAGAGGTGCCCCTCGCTCCGTGTTGGGAGCCTCGTGAGGGCCCTCTGGCAGGAGAGCCCAGGATCGGATCGACAAGTCGGATCGGCGATCGACAGGAATCGGATCGTGGGAAATCGGCAGTGGAGTCGGGAAAAGTCGGATCGGCAGGAATCGGCAGGCTAGTATGCCTCCAATAAGAAATCGGAACTCAAATCGGAATCCCAGATCGAATCGAATCGGAATCGGAAACCATCGAAATCGAATCGAATCGAATCGGAGGAATCGAAACGAGCCCTGCTCTGGGCCTCGTGAGGGGTGCCCTGGAGGCCGTCTGGGCCACTCCGAGAACCCTGGGGGCGCCTTGGGCCAGGGGTACTTCTGGGAGCACCCGAACGCAGGGGCGGCCGAGGGGCGTCGTCGTCGTCGTCGTCGTCCTCGAGGGGTGCATTTAGGTCGGGCCTGTCACCCTACAGGAGGATGTTGGGAGAAAGATCAAACATATTAGAAAAATATCCCGGAAATGATCAAAAGTAGTCAACACACATCGGCGCTCGACTATTTCTTAACTACTGTTGAATTTTCCTTCTGTAGAGGGACAGCCCCGCCGTAAGGGTACATTGCGGTGCGGCCGCCATCCCATAGAGCATGGCTGCGAGGCAGCTGGCGAGAGGGGGGGGGCCCAGGGAGGCCGCCGTTCACGAGCGGCGAACATGCTGTCTGTGTCCGTATCCGTGCCCTCGCGGTCTGCCAGAGGGTTCCAAAGAGGGTTTTGGGGGAGGGGGGTTTCCCAGGAGGGGTCCCCCAGGGGCTTCGCGCCCCCTGTTTTGACGAGGATCTGAGACCCCTGGGGAGCTCCCTCCCCCCAAACCCCCGCTTGGAACCCTATGGGTCTGGATTCCGAGGCGCCATCCTGGTGCGGTCGCACGGCTACGTTCCGCCCGGGGCAGCCACGCAAAATTGCCGCACCCGCGGGGTCGCGGTCCACGGGCCCTGCCCTGAACGATCGCGCTTCCCGAACGCGCGGATCGTTCGACATCGACCGATTCTGGGCCACTGGCGGTGTCCAAGCTCGAACGCCCGTGCTGGGGTCGCCGTGGCCGCGACGCGTTGCGAACCTGCAATAGACGGGAGGCCTCCCATGGGGCGCACAAGGACGTAATAGTGTCATGCATCCTCCTTGGAGGCGTGGGTCTGACCCGAACATATAGTACAACCATCTTGTGATATATTTCTTCCCACGCGGTATGGCCAGGAAGAGCCCGCCACGGATCTTCTACTGTAAGGCTTCTTGGCGCGCGCGCGTCGTCCCTAGGGGGGCGACGCACACATAGTATTAGCACGTTGGAATGGCGCCGACCTCTTCTATCATCGACTACACGCAAGAATGACCCTGGGTAAGCGTGACCTTTGATGCGCGGCTTTTTGGGGGCCACGGGGGGGCCAAGCACGAGCGTGCAATCCGCTGCTACCGCACCGCGTCCGGCGATCAGGGGGCCCCAGTGGGCCCGCACAAGAGGCCTCGCGCAGCGAATGGTCACTCTAGTCGAAATCAGAATCCTTCGGGGACGCACCGACCCGGGATCAATCCAAACCCGGGTCAGTCAAGCCTTGCAGGATCCCGCATGATCCTGAAAGATCCGGCACCCTGGCTGAGCCCCGAACCTAGACCCCCGACGTCGTGATTTCTTCACAACGTCGACCCCCAAAAGTCTCGGCCCCTTCCCCGGGACTGGCTTCTCATCCTGAGCCGTTTCTTGCCGGTCCCGAGGCCCGCCGAGGGCCCCCACGAAGGCCAAAGATGGCGAACAACCTCCCGTCGCAATTTTTGTCGCAACGCGCGCGACCTCTGCGCGTGCTCGCGCCCGGCCGCTCCCGCTGCTGAGCAGGGGCCGACCGTCCCAGCACTTCTATAGGCCTACAACGACATGTTCCTAGAACCCAGACGTGTTCTAAGAATAAAAGCAATGCTCCTATAGAACAGAAACCCGATGGGTGAACACAAGACAAGTCCCGGCCAGATAGGTTCTACGGAACATTCCGTGCAGACCACGGACGGTTCTCAGAACATGGTTTGGCAGGCGACGCTCCGCAGCTGCTCTGACCTCTGCGCGTGTTCGCGCCCGGCCGCTCCCGTGGACTTCCGGGCGGCCCCCCCGGGCCCTCCGTGGCCTTCGGCGGCGGCTTCGCCGGCGGGGCGGCCTGCGGCGGGGGGGCGGAGACGGCGGGGCGCGCGCCGGGCACGGGCGGCGGCCTCCCCCCGTCGAGCCTGGGTGGCGTCGGAGGCCCGCGGCGCATCGCCGCTGCCTCGGCGTGGAGAACGTCGGGCTTCAAGTGGGAGGCCTCTCAAATGAGGTCGGAGTAGACAGGGTCGGGGGATTGCGCCGCATCGCTGATGCATCGGCGATGCATCCGCGATGCGTCGGCGATGCGTCGTGGACGTGGGCGATGCCTCGGCGCCGTCGGCGTGGAGAAACCTGGGCCCCAAATCGAGCCGCATCGGCGATGCATCGGCGTTGCGGCGCGATCCTCCGATCCCATCTACTCCGACCTGATGTCGGAAGCCTAGAATGCACCGGCGTGAAAAAGTCTGGCTCTAACGGAGTATGTGTCGACCCCCTATCCCAGGCTTCGTGGCGTTTTCGAATGGACCAGACATTCGGGGCCCGTCCTCGATAAGGGGTGCGTGCGACGAGCCGCTTGGGGGAATGTCCCAAGGGTCCCCTTATTTTTCTGAATGGCCAAACTTTTCGGGCGGAGCTCGGGGGCTGGGGGGCAAACGTCGCTTGCGAAGCTTCACATCGGGTTGCGTTACCGATGATGCGGCGCGTTTGTCTGACGCTCTCTCCTGGGACCACATGCTAGGCAATGCCAAGGGGGGGTCACCACTGTTTGGAACTGAAGGGGAAGTCGCACACGCACACGCACACGCACACACGCACACGCACACGCACACGCACACGCAGACACACACACGCACACACAGACACACACACACACAAACGCAAACGCACACGCACACGCGCACGCACCCGCAGTCGCGCACGCAGACACACACACACACACACACACACGCACACACGCACGCACGCACGCACGCACGCCCACGCGCCCGCACGCCCGCACGCCCGCGCGCCCGCACGTCCGCCCGCACGCGCGCACGCACGCACGCACGCACGCACGCACGCGCGCACACACACACAAACACACAACACACACACACGCACACACACAACACACACACGCACGCACGCACACATGCATACACGCCACGCCCCCCCCCCCGAGCCCGCGCCCACGCCCCCCCCCCTCCCCCGCGCACGCACACGCAAACGCACACACACGCACACACACAACCGCACACACACACACACACACACACACACACACACACACACACACACACACACACACACACACACACAAAACACACACACAAACACAACACACACACACACAAAACACACACACAAAACACACACACACACACGCGCGCGCACACGCACACGCGCACACGCGCACACGCGCACACACGCACACACGCACACACGCACACGCGCACATGCGCACACACGCACACACGCACACACGCACACACGCACACACGCACACACGCACGCACGCACGCACGCACACACGCACACACGCACACACGCACACACGCACACACGCGCACACGCGCACACGCGCACACGCGCACACGCGCACACGCGCACGCGCACACACGCGCACACGCGCACACGCGCACACGCGCACACGCGCACACGCGCGCGCGCATTCGCACATTCGCACATCCGCACAGTCGTGCGTTCGCACATTCGCACACATTTGTACACATTCGCACACATTCGCACACGTTCGCACACATTCGCACACATTCGCACACATTCGCACACATTCGCACACACTCACACACATTCGCACACAGTCGCACACATTCGCACACATTCGCGCACATTCGCACACATTCGCACACGTTCGCACACGTTCGCACACATTCGCACACGTTCGCACACGTTCGCACACGTTCGCACACATTCGCACACATTCGCACACATTCGCACACATTCGCACACATTCACACACATTCGCACACACTCGCACACACTCGCACACACTCGCACACATTCGCACATTCGCACATCCGCACATCCGCACATCCGCACATCCGCACATCCACACATCCGCACATCCGCACATTCGCACATTCGCACATTCGCACATTCGCAAATTCGCACATTCGCACATTCGTACATTTGCACATTTGCACACTTGCACACTTGCACATTGGCACATTCGCACATTCGCGCATTCGCACATTCGCACACTCGCACATTCGCGCATTCGCGCGCGCACGCGCACGCCCGCCCGCCCGCCCGCACACACAACACACAACACACACAACACACAACACACACAGCATACACACACGCACGCACGCACGCACACTCACGCACTCATACACTCACACACACATACACACAAGATATACACACATAAGTTGTGCGAACACACGTTTTCAGGATCATCAATCTCCAAGGGGATCGAAGGCGGCCGCGGGGTCTACGCTGGATGCGCCAAGAAAAAGCGTGGGCATCAGAAAAATAGCGCAAGCCTGGGACACCAGGCAACGTAGCACTTGACGTCTTACTCGCCTGCATTAGAGCGAGGCGAGGGCGCAGGCCTCGACATCCCTTCGGCTTCGGCAGATCGCGACGACGACGATTCATTATCGGCAACACCCGCGGGGCGATGCTCTTGGTCGCCCGCGATTGAGGACGACGCGCGCTGTGGCGGTCTCCACTTCCACTCTGCAGCAACGGCTGGAAACGCACAACAAGGACGAAACCTGCGGGGATCGATCGCGCACCTGGCCGCACCAGGACGCGCGCATTGCCATCCCCGGCCGGTGGCTTCCCATCAGATCACCATTGCGAGGAGGCTGCCCGCCACTGGAAAACTACGCACCGGCGGCTCTCGCTGCGCGATGCGGCCTGCTTCGCCGACCAGCGCGTTCACACTTCAATTGTAAATGTTCCACCATTCGCTCATCCTCCCTCCCGCGCGCAGCCTTTCCCTCGGCCGCGGGCCGCTGGGCACCTGCGCGGCGAGCGGCGGCGCACAGCGGGCGCGCCGGCCATCGGGGGGCCGGCATGTAAGGCAGGCCCCCCCCAGACCAGCGGGCCTCCAACTCCGCCTTTTCGCGCGGCTGCGCGGGCGCGCCTCGGGGGCGGAGGTGGGAGCGCCGCTCCACTGCGAAAAAAAACACATCGCGATGGAGATGTAGCCCATGCCCCCACGATGGTCGATCTGGACCCACGATGGCCAGACTGGCTGTAGACGGAGGGCTGGCCACGGGCTTGCAACGGCCGTCGAAGAGGCGATTAACCTGCATCCAGCAGCTTCTTCTGGCTGGCCTTGAAGCGGTGTTTCTGCAGCCTGGCGACGCCATCCTGCGCGAGCATCCTGGCCGACGTCTGGTGTCTCCGCGGGCGTTTCAACGTAGTTCTGCTAGGGTGGCAAGCGCTCTCCAATGGTGGGCGGCGCCGCCCCCCCTTCGGTCGCGCGGCTCGACGGCGGCAGGGTCGGCGCCGACTTTGAAGGCCGGGCGGGGGAAGGCCATGCGGGAAAGGGCCATGCCATTGGGGGCGACGAGGCTCGCCCTGGCGCCGCCCTGCCAAAGCGCGGGCGAAGGGCAGATCCATCGAGTTCGTCGATCACGATATGTCTGGCTACTCCTGCCCGCTTGCCGCCGTCGGGGTAGCCGATGTCGGCGTGGCAGACGCTTGCGTCGAGGTCGCGGGTGAACGCGGTCCGGCGCGCAGCGTGACCTCGCAGGGCCTCATCATGCCGCCGAGGCGGCGGCGGCGGTGGCGGCGGCGGCGGCGGCGGCAGCGGTGGCGGCAGCGACTGTGGCGGCAGCGGCTGCGGCGGCGGCGATTTGGCTGCGGGGGCGGCGGCGGCGGCGGCGGGCAGCGCGGCGGCCGCGGCAGCGGCGCGGCGGCGTCGGCGGGCGGCGGCGGCGGCGGCGGCGGCGGAGGCGGCGGCGGCGGATTGCCCCCCAGCAGCTGTCCATCCAAAGACGACTGCTGCATATGCTGCGGCTCGGGCCAGGCTCGGGTGCTACGTATGTGTCGAAAGGGCGGGGGGGAGTGAGCAAGACGGCTTGCGGGCGGGGAATGCGTCTTGACCCCTCCCCCTACCCCCTCCCCTGGACCTGGACAAGGGGGTTCCGCGAGTCGTCGGAGCTTCCAAAACGGCCTCGGCGAGGACGCGCAAATCATTGATTTTACTTTGGTTCTGGCCCTATTTTGGCCTCCTGCGGGGGGGACGCTAATTAGACACCCCCCCTCCTGTGATCGATCTCGCCCAAAATTGCCCAACAATGGCCCCCAAGGCTCCAAGGGGTGCCCCAAGAGGGCCCGAAGAGGTGGCCAGGAAACCCCAAGAGGCCCCAAGACATGTTGGCCTCTTGGGGGGTGGCACTGATTAAGATGACTCCAAGAGCGCCTGGGCGAGCCCAAGGTGACCTCTAATATGGCTCAAGATACCCCAAGATGTCTCATAATGGTTTCCTCTGTATGCTGCCCACTTCCCTGATCCAGGCAATTCCTCTGGGCATCGTTTCTGGATGGGCTGGCGGGGATTATTTTTGGTCGGCGGCCGCTCGACGACGGTCTGGCGGCAACAGGCAATGTCCGGGGCGGGCGGCACAGAGCTAATTGCACACAGAGCGTGCGGTGCACATGCATTGAGCAAAATACTCCACATTCACCAGCAGACGCACCTAGGCGCCACCCAGTAAACCAAAGTGTACAAGCGGCCACAAGTACGAGTGCAACGGAGTGACTCGTCCTTGCGGCGCCAAGCTCCGAGCAGCCGACCAGGCTAGCAACGATGCACGAGCCTGGGTGACAGGCTGCGGGCGGTGGAAAACAAGGGCCGAAGGCGCGGAAGGCTGAACCACTCAGCGCGCGGCCATCGAACTCCACTGCAGGAGTTGGGGGGGCCGGCGGCAACCAACGCATCGAGTCCGGCACCTGCGGGGAAGGCCCGGGGATGGTGCGACGATGCGCAGAACGCGGACTGTACCAGGCAGCAACACTCAGGGGCGAGGCATTCCCGAAGCGTCAACAATTTGGTGGGGGCTTCGAAGGAGATGGGGATGGGGATGGGGATCGGTTGAACAATACTGATACACCGGGTTCTTTCACCAAGCTCCTCGGCTCCCTAGCCAGCCAGACGACGTGGTGTGTGCATCGCAGCCCTTCGCGGCCCGCGGACCAACGCAACGAGTCGGCGGCGGGCGTTTCGGCCTCTTTCTCGGAAGGCGGGGACGGAGGGGATAAATGTGGTAAACACTAAGCAACGCAGTCGCGGCCGATACAGTCGAGCTTTATAGCAAGGACGGGCGATAAGGACGCAAAGGGCCTTGGACGCCGAAGTTGGCGCTCTCTTGGGCGGCAAGCTGCCAACACCTTCAAGGGCCGGCCAGTGAACACCGCGAAGGACGGGCATCTGTGCATCACCGTGCATCCTGGGCCCAGGGACACACACATTAGAATACATAAATCCCAAGATCTCCCATAGCTGCCAATCTTTTCTAGAATCTCGTCCTCCCCCCTCTTCCCATCTCCTGGCATATCCTCCCGGGGATCGGCGATTCTCTGTGTCTCTGTGAGCGTTCTCTCCTCCTGAAGTCAGCGGAGCCCGAGGGGGAGAGGGGGCGGGGGCGGGTCCAGGTTGGAGGTGGCCGCGGGAGTCCGAGCTGGACGGGCCCCGCGAAGACTGCCCTCGCTCGGGCGGCCCTGCCCGCGCAGGCTTCGGCTCCGTGCGTGCTTTCTGCGCAAGAGGATCCAGGAGGCCACGGTGGTCCTCGCCGAGAAAGCACGCACATGCTCGAGCGATGCCAAGGAGGGCAGGCCCCCTTCGACTGGGGGATCGACTACAGAATTGATTGACCCAAAATCGATGTTCACGTCGACTCTTCAGCGAAAACACGTCAACCACTCGTAGATCTGCGAAAGCTCTACGACTTCCCCGTGGATTCGGCAAGAAAAGTTAATGCTGGTGCAAATCAATTCTGTGGTCGATCCCCAACTCGACCCCCAAATCCCCTTACAGGGGGATTGTGGGCGAAACATGACAAAAATCCAAACATAGCCCCTAATGAGCAAAACTACTTAACAAAATTTCCCCCAGATTATATTTTTACTATGTTTGAACGTTCCTCCTGTAGAAGGACGGGCCCCACTTAACCCTGGACCCCAAATCCGCTCAAACTCCGCTCCCCGCACCCCTGCCGGGGGCCCACCTGGTGCAGTTGTTCACCGCGGATCTAGTCCCGACGCTCCCAGACAACGACACCCGGAGCAGGAAAAGACAACAAAACCTTGGAGGCCTGGAAATTGGCACCAAAACCAGCACAGGGGTATGCCTCCACAGGGGGAAGATGATCCTGGATTTCGGTGTTGGTTTTAATATTTCGGCCACCTTGGAAGCCAGAATCTTACTACCATCACCGAGATCGGGATCTTCTTCCCTCGGTGGAGGCACACCGCCGATATTGGTGTCGGTGTCAACCTCTAGGCCTGCGAAAACCGTGTTGAAACCCCGCGACTCGCACCTCGCCGCCCCTTCCTGCCCGTCGTAACCAGTGCTCAGACCCCCAGCTTCCAGGGCGGGGGCGTTCCAGAACAGGGCGGACGGGGCGGAGCGCCCAAACACGCGAGGAAGAGCAGCGTGGCGACGGCGCGCGGCCTTCCGAGGGATGCGCTCTGGCGGCGGCGATGTCCCCCCGACGGGACTCCAGTTTTCAATCGCCCGGGCTGGTGGACGGGCCGCCAAATTGGAAACCGTGAGTAGGTGTCTAGGCCCTGTCCAATGGGGCGTCGCAGAAACGCCACAGGACAATGTATCGTGTAGAACTTTCTGGCCCGTTCTCCGGGCGACAAGTGAGCGACGATCAAACACGGGTCTTACGCGAGGTGACGTAGCGACCTTACGCGGTGGGTTACGCGGGCCGCCAGCGCGGCACGCTACGCTGGAAGCCATGGCGCTTACGCGCGACCTTACGCGAGCAGCCTACGCGCCAACGTCGGCGAAGGCGACCCCGTTTTCCTCCGTCGCTCAAGTGCTGCAAGACAAACACATACACTGCGTTTCAGCCGCCAGTTGCCACTAAGCGGTGGGCAGGCAGAACAATGTATAAGTCGGGTCGCTGAAAGAAGGAACGCTAAATAAGGAACGAAGCCCATTCTTGGCCCTGTAAGCGCCTCCGTGCCCCAGGAGGGCAAGAGGAACAGCACTGGAGGAACCTAAGGAACGTCGAGCCCCTTCCGAACCCAAACTGTTCCTTATTTCAGCGTCTTGACTGTAACGGACGCGTTCCTGGCACCGACCAACGTCGCGGCTGCAAGCGGGGTTGCGACGGAAGGGAGACCCACAGGCGCCGAGGCCGCTACTCCCCGGACCCCTCCCGGACTGCGAGGGCCGAGGGCCTCCTCCCGGAGGCCCAACAGCACGGCAGAGCGAAGGACGGGCCCGTCGCGGCATGGGCACCCGCTCCCGAGACAGTGCGCGGCGGCGGCGGCGCGGGGCGCCTTCTGCGGGATGTGCTCCGGCGGCGGTAGGCCGCCCGCGGGCCCGTGGCGCGGCGCGCTCGGACAGGGGGGCGGCGCCAGCGGCGCCGAGGGCGCCTCCGCGGCGGTCGCGCCCGCGGGGCAGGCCCAGCCGCGTCCCCGTCGACCTCCCTGGAGGCAAGGCGCGGAAGAAAGGACCGCTTTCGGCTCGGCAGGGGCTCGGTGTTCATCGGGTCCTTCCCTGGCTGTTCCTCCAGCCCCCCTCGTCGTGCACGCGGGCGCTTGTGGGGCCAACAAGGGGCGTCGTTCCTGGTTCATCGTTCCTATGTCGGCGGCACGACTGTAGCGGCAACAGGCCTCCGAGGGAGCCCCCCGGTCGGGCCTCGTCTGTCCCCTTCCCTAGAGGCGCCCCCGGACCTCCAACGTTTTGTCGTAGCTGTTGTTGCAGAGGGAGCCTTGTCTAAGGAAGGGAAGACATGTTTGGGAGGGCAGGTTGTTTTCGTCTGCTGGGCGCAGGACTTTTGTCAGGAAGAACCATGGGTGGATGCCACGGCAGGGCGTATCGGGCCTAAACCAACGTAAAAGTGGGTTGCAGGTGCCCTAAGCGGCTGACGGGGGCTTAGGATATGGGCTAAGCTTAGGTCGGGCATGTCCCCCTACAGGCGGATTTTGGACGACAAATACCCAAAACTAATCAAATTAGTAGAAAATCGACGCGAGGCTATGTTTGACTCTATTTTTGAATATCCCTCCTGTAGAGGGACAGGCCCGACTTAAGGCTAAGCGGGAGGAGCCCACTTAGCGGAGTTACGAGAGAGCGCGCACGGGAGACAGCGCCAGGGGGGGGGGGTCACCTGGTAGTTTCCTAACCCCCCCCCCCCTGGACCTCTCCTGTCGGAACCTCCTCCCGCCCCTCCCTGTTCTCGCGCACCAGAAGCTCCCCCCCCAGGAACCCCTGCAACAATTACACAATATGAGTACTATCCTCTCTCCCCTGAGCCTATTCGGAAGGTGTCCGGCACCCCTCCGCGTCTTGTTTACACCAAGGATTGCTGGGAGCTTGGTTTTCGTGTGTGTTTTCGCCGATCCGATTCTTGCCAGTCCTTCAAATGTTGCTCCCGCTGCAACGCTGGCCTCACCCCCCTCACCCCCGCCACTGTGGAGTGGTGTCGTTTTCAGGAAGTCTCAGGCGGGAACTCCGTTTCTTCTTTCAGGAGGCGATGTTGAAAGCACAACCGGCGGGTGCTCTGTATCGGCCCCATCTCATTGGAAGCTGTCAGGAGAGCCCAGGGAGCTGAACGTGGAGCCGCGACTTCAGACCGGCCCAGACCCCTCGAAAACAATCAACTCCAAGGACCCTGGTGCCATTTCATCACATGCAGCGCGGTGTTGTGTTTTGGGCCGCTGTGCGATGCTACGCTTTGCGTTGCAATGCTTTGTGATGCACTTCTTCACTACGCAATGCCACGCCATGCTTTGACATGCTATGCTCCGCCTTGCGCTTCTACGACGTGCTACGCCGTGCTCTACCATCCATCGCGTACCCTCTCGGGATCATTGCCTTGCTCGGCATTCGGCTGTGCGAATCGAAAGGATATCTGCGCCATGATGTGGTATGGGAGGGAGGGTGCGAATTCCAATGTTGCGCGAGCGCACCTAGCTTGGCACCTAGCTGCGACCCCAGCAAGGAACCTTCCCCTGAACCTCCCCAGTGGAAGCCCACCGCCCCTTTGGTCGAGCTCAAATCGAGGATCTGCTGACCCGGGTCGATCCTGACCCGGGTCAGCAGCAATGCAAGAAAAAAAAAAACGCAGGTCTTCGCAAACCCGGGTCAGCCAATATGCACGGCCGCCTCGCGGCCTCAAGCGGCTCGCTAACCCGGGTCAGCCAGAGGGGGTCTTCGCAGGATCCTGTAGGATCCGATGCCCGGCGGACCCCAGGTTGCATTGAACCCTGTCTCTCGAGCTCCGATCCAAAGGCTACCCCCGCCCCCCGGCACCCGTGCCGGAAGCACCCCCCCCTTGTCCCGTTCGGCTCCTGCAAGCTGCCCCCCTTGACACCTCACCTGTTGAAGACCCCCCACCGAAAACGACGACGACGACGACGGCGACGGCGAAGGCGACGGCGGCGCTGTGCGGACAGGGCGCTCGCAGGGCAGGCAGCAGCAGCATCAGCAGCAGCAGCACCAGCAACAGCAGCACAAGCAGCATCACCACCAGCAGCAGCATCAACAGCAGCACCACCAGCAACAGCAACAGCGCACCAGCAGTAGCATCACCACCAGCAGCACCAGCAGCGGCACCTGCAGAGCCAGCAACAGCATCAGCAACCCCAGCAGCAGCACAAGCAGCAGCGGCAGCATCAGCCGCAGCACCAGCAGCAGCACCAGCAGCAGCATCACCAGCACCACGAACAGCAACATAAGCAGCAGCAGCAGCAGCAGCAGCAGCAGCCGCATCAGCACCAGCAGCAGCAGCAGCAGCAGCAGCAGCACCAGCAGCAGCACAAGCAGCACAAGCAGCAGCAGCAGCAGCAGCAGCAGCAACACCAGCAGCATGAGAACCAGCAGCAGCACCAGCAGCATCAACATCGAAACCTACGGTAGCAGCACGCAGCATCAACACCAGCAGCCGCAACATGCCAATCAACACCAACACCAAAAAAACCCACCAACAACCTCACCTGAGGACCGGAAAGCAATACTAGCATAGCCCACTCGAGTTGCCAGGTGGAAGCGACTTGAGAGGAACAACAACAAATCCACTCCATGACTCGCCATGTGGCAACGCCTGCGGGGCGAACATGAATGTATCAGAGACTATATATATATATATATATATATATATATATATATATATTCGCTCTACTCGTCACGTGGCAACGCCCGGGGGGCGAACCTAATACTGTTCTAGTCTCTTCGCCGAGTGGCAACGCTCGGAAAAGGAAACAAACACTAGTCCCCTATCCTCGCCACTTGGCAGTGCCTGCGGAACAAAACAACCTTACTCCACTCTAATCGACACGTGGCAACGAAGAGGGGCGGGAGCGATTGCTACTCCACTCGACTCGCCACATGGCAACGCCGCGTGGCTAGGCCTGAGAGGCAAACAAAAATACGACCCCACCGCGCTGGGCACGTGGCAACAACATGGGGGGCGAACGCAACGCCGTGAGGTCCGAACGTAGACAATCTCACTCTACCCGCCACTTGGCAACACCTGGGGGACGAAACGATGTTCAATTCTATTCGCCACGTGGCAAAACTGCGGGGCAGAAACAAATACATCGCCACTCCTTTCGCAACAGGGCAACGACAGGCCGGCGAGCACAGTACAATACAACTTTGCGCGCCACATGGCAACACCGCACAACAAACAAGATACTACTCTATTCCATTCGACGTGGCAACGCCGCGGAGGCGAACACCACAATCTAGTCGGCAAGTGAGTCCAACGCGGGCAAGGACGGCGACGGCGACGATACGAGCGACGACGGCGACGACGACGACAACGACGACGCCGACGACGACGGACAACGACGGACGATGACGATGATGATGATGATGATGATGATGATGATGATGATGATGATGATGATGATGATGATGATGATGATGATGATGATGACGACGACGACGACGACGACGACGACGACGACGACGACGACGACGACGACGACGACGACATTGCCGCCCGCCCGCCCCGCTCCGCCCGCTCGCCCGCCGAAGCGCGCGCCCGCCCGAGCGCCCGAACGCCTCCTTTGAAGGGGCCCTGGGACGCACAAATAAATACACGCAAATAACAGCATTCCCCATATTTTCCCGTAGCTTATAAATTTTTGTCTTCCCCCCACTTCCCATATCTTCCCATATTTTCTGGGTCTGTGTGTTTCTTCTCCTTCCGATTCTTGCCCGCCCGCCCGCCCGCCAACGCGCGCGTGCCCGCTCGCGTGCCCGCCCGCCCGCACGGCCGCCCGCCTGGTCGCCCGCCCCCCCGCCCGCGCGCCCGCTCCCCCTCCGCCGCCCGTTCCCTCGCCCGCTCCCCCGAGGCGGCCACCACACCGCGCCGGGCGACGAGGCGCCCGCCGGGAACACTCCTTCCCCAGCGCCCCCCCCCCTCCTCCACTGAGCGCCGACGAGCTCCTTCCTCGTCCCCCTCCCGCATCCTCCCCTCCTTTCCACCACGGTGCCGACGAGTACCTCATCGCGTGGAGTCCCGAGTACCGACAACCTCCTTCTCCTCTTCCTCCTCCTCCTGCTGCCCCTCGTCCCCCTCTCCTTTCCCCCCTCCGGATCAGCACCAACCATTTACCTTTAGCGCAAATCGCGCAATGCGTTGCACTGCATTGTGTTCCTCTTCCTCCTTCCGCCAACCTCCTCCCCTCCTCGTTCGTCGTCCACCTCTCCTCCCCGCTCCTCCCCGTCCTCGTCCTCCTTCGAATCCTTTCGCGTCCCCCTCCTCCTGCTCCTCCTGCTCCACCTCCTCGCTCGTCCTCCCGCGCCTCCAACCCTCCTCTCCTCCTCCCTCCCTCCTCCCTCCTCCCTCCTCCCTCCTCCTCCTCCTCCTCCTGCCTCTTGCCTCCTCTCCCGCCCTCCTCCCTCCCTCCTCCCTCCCTTCCCCCTTCCTCTCCCTCCCCCCTCCTGCCTCCCCCCCCCCCTCCGGGGGCCCCCCGCGCGCTGGCACGAGGCCATCCCAGGAGCTCGCCCCGTGGCCACTCGGCGGGCGCCCCCGTAGGTGCCTCGTGCTCCCCTGCTGGCCACGCTCCGGAGAACTTTCCGCCCGGTCGCCGCTCGCAGGGGCGCCTCCTCCTCCTCCTCCTCCTCCTCCTCCTGAGTCCTCGTCCTCCTCCTCCTGAATCCTCCTCCTCCTCCTCCTCCTCCTCCTCCTCCTCCTCCTGCACCTGCACCTCGTCCTCCTGCTCCTGCTCCTCCTCGTCCTCGTCTTTCTCCTCGTCGTCGTCGTCGTCCTCCTCCTCCTCCTCCTCCTCCTGCACCCTGTCCTCCTGCTCGTGCTCGTGCTCGTGCTCGTCCTCGTCCTCGTCCTCCTCATGCACCTCGTCCTCCTGCTCGTCCTCGTCCTCGTCCTCGTCGTCGTCGTCGTCCTCCTCCTCCTCCTTCCGCCTGGGCGCCGCCCGCATGGGCGCCTCGTGCGATGGCTCGGCACATGCAGCAGGCGCGCCCCGCAGATCGCACCGCGCAGCAATGTGCCCCACGTGGCTTGCAACCCGTACGTTGCGCACAACACGGAGTGCACCGCACGTGTTGCGCTGCATACAACACACCACGAAGCTTGCAACACGTGGCTTGCATCACAGGTGCTGTATCCAGCAGTGCACGTCGAGAGCGTGAGAACCGACTGTTTAGGGGTCCATGCTGACAAACTGTAGCACTTCCGCACAACATTGCTCTTTTTGGAGACGGCCCATGTGGCCGCAGTCCTAGTGATCCTGCACGGCGCCTACAAAAGAATAGTCTCCCTGATGATTTGACGCCACTTCTTCATCCACAAGGCTGAAACAGACTGTGCCTGTACGCTGGCGTGATTGGCCCTTATACTCTCACCAGACGCAAGGTTGTGCAGCCTGGCGCGCACTGGACTGCAGGGTGCCACGCTTGTATCTCGCAGAATGCCAACGGCCTCCGACACCCTGAAGAGAACCAGAGACAACAGCCACCGAGAACCCATCGGAGGGGGACCCACCCCTGGGGGGCGACACGCCCGAGCGTTTTGAGGTCCTGGGTCAATAAAGGGGCCCTGGGACACACAACTATACACACGAATAAAAGGATTCCCCATATTTGTCCATACCTGTTTAATGTTCGATTTCCCCCCCCACTTCCAATATTTTCCCATATTTTCCTGGGGATCGACGATTCATTGTATCTGTGTGTTCTTTCCCTCCTGAGTCACGCTCGGACGTGCCGCCGCCCAGGGCAGGCGAGCTCGGAAATGAGTCGAGAAGTCGGATCGGATCGGCGGAAATCGGCGGCCAAGTCGGGAGGAGTCGAACCGGCTGAAATTGGCAGGCCAGGAATGCCTCCATGGAGACATCAAAACCCATGTGGGAATCTCGAGCCGAATCGAATCGGAATCGGAGGCCATCGAAATCGAATCGAACCGAAGGAGTCGAAGTGAGCCCTGCCAGGGGTCCCCGCCTCTCCTCCAGGATCGCTAAGAAGAGATTCTTGGGGTTTGCACCATGAGCGCCGAAGCGCGTGAGGCAGCGGGGGGGGGCACTTGGTGGGCGCTCCATCCTGGGAGGGGGGCGGGCACCTCCGCATGGGAGGGGTGCGGGGCCTCCCCGGGCCGCCTGGAGCCGCCCCCAGGTCATGGGGTGAGGCCCGCCGTCTAGCTTTGACGGCGACGCGCCCGAGCGTATCGAGGTCCCGGGTCAAGCTCGGACGTGCCACCGTCCAGGGATCCCCCAACCCCGATGGGTTCTCGGCGGCGGTGGTCCCTGCTTCTTGAGCAGGGACCGACCGTCCCGGTATTCTTATAGGCCTACCACAAGATGTTCTTATAATCCCAACATGCTATAACAAAGAAAACACAATGCTCTGAGAACGTGTAAATCCGATGTGTAAACTTAGCACAAGACAATATCGGCCACACATTTCCCAAGAACATTTCGTGCAGACCACGAAAAGATCTTAGAACATTCTTTGTGGTGGGCCTATAGGCGAGCCAGGACGCTTCGCCTCTGCTTCAATTTCTCCCTTGAGAAACGCAGATCCGGCTCGATCCCCGGCACCAACTGCCTGCGCAAGCCGCCCACGGGGCGCGCCGGGCCGGCGTGCTTGGACGTCGCATACCCGCGCGCGCTGACTCTCCTCCTCCTCCTCCTCCTCCTCCTCCTCCTCCTCCTCCTCCTCCTCCTCCTCCCCTTCCCTCTCCCCTCCCCCTCCTCCCTCCCCCTCCCCTCCTCCTCCTCCTCCCTCCTCCTCCTCCTCTCCTCCTGCTCCTCCTCCTGCTCTCTCCCTCCTCCTGCTCCCTCCTCCCCCCTCCCTCTCCTTCCTCCTCCCCTCCTCCTCCTCCTTCTCCTCCACCTCCTCCTCCTCCTCCTCCTCTTGCTCCTCCTCCCCCGCCACAGCGGGACACTCTGAATTGTTCTCTTTTCGTTGCCCCGCAGACGCATTCTGTTGTTGTGCGCAGGACTGGTCCGAGTCGGCTTTTCCTGTGATTGTTCGATCCGAACGCTCTCGCTCTCGCCGCGGCGTGGGCCTCGATTTCAGTATGGCGCTCTCGCCCCCCAGTGCGGGCCACTTTTGTGGATCCGAGTCCTTCCTTATCGTTGTCGCTCCTCTCCTTTCCCCCTCCTCCGGCTTCCTCTGGCCCTCCTGCTCCTCCCGCTTCTTCCACTCCAGCTTCTGTTGATGCCGTTCGGCATTCGCCACCCTCTCGCCTCAATCTCTTCCTGTTCCGCCAGCTCATCCTCCTGCTTGTCCGCCACCTCTTTCTTCTTCTTGTGTGAGGACGCAGCTTCCGCTTCCCGATTGCGCATGACACGATGGGATGATGATGCTGATGATGATGCTGCTGATGATGATGACGATACAATGGGGTCTTTGTTTGGAGCTCCAGGTTCACCACGGCGCGCGTCGGCGGGTAGAGAACCAACCAGCGCATCGGGAAGGGACGGGAGGCGCAGGGAGGGGTCGCCCCTCCTCTCCCCTTCCTCCCGACGCCCTCCTCCCCCGTCCTCCCCCCCCTCCCCTCCCTCCTCCCCCTCCCCTCCCTCCCCTCGTCGTCCTCCTCCCCCCCTGACCCTGTCTCCTTCGTCTCCAGCCCCCGCGCCTGTTTTTCCTTCCCCGTCTTGCCCGTCCTTGTTCCACTCCTCCTCCACTCAGCCGCCCTCACCCTCATCCACTGCCATCAATACCACATTCGGTATAGTATCCTCCTCCTTCTCGCCCTCCTCCTCATCATCATCAACCGCACCAGTTTCAGCATCCGCAGTATCATCACCATCATCATCATCATCATCATCATCAGCATCATCATCATCATCATCAGCAGCATCATCATCATCAACATCAGCATCAGCACCAACATCAGCATCGGCATCGGCATCAGCATCAGCATCAGCATCAGCATCAGCATCAGCATCAGCATCAGCATCATCATCATCATCATCATCATCATCATCATCATCATCATCATCATCATCATCATCATCATCATCATCATCATCGTCATCGTCATCGTCATTATCAGCATCGTCATCATCATAATCACCATCACACCCATCATCATCATCGTCATCGTCATCGTCATCATCAGCATCGTCAACACCACCATCACCAACATCATCAATATCATCATAACCACCATCATCGTCATCGTCGCCGTCAACATCAACATCAACATCACCATCATCACCATCATAATCACCGTCATACTCAGCATCAGTATCGCCATCATCACCAACATCAGCGTCGACATCGGCATGGCCATCGTCAACATCACACTCATTACCAACACCATCTTCTTCCGCATCCTCACCCGCATCCCGCTCCCTCCTGCATCCTGATCGCTGATCCGCATGCCGACTTGAGTTTCCGACATCATTCACCAACCGACGCCACACTGGCCACCTGACTAATCAGCCCGACTGGCTGAATAATCTGAATTTGGCACGGGGGAGGCAACGTTGGCCAAGCGAGAAAATCGATCCTGCACCAAGCCCAGAAAAAAAAGCCAAGTGAGGCAACTGGGCTGCGTACCCTTCTTCCAAACAGATCTGGTCTGGAAAGGACTAGCACATCGGCTGGCCCTCTCTCTGAAAAACCCTGGCCCCGAAAAAGTTCACAGCCTTCGGGCAAGGAGTGAAGACAATCTTTCTCGAGTGAGAAGGTGCCGATACCGCTGCTCCCCGATCGTCTCCAGGGGTGCATCTGGACCAGCATTCCGAGGACGACCCAGTCGTGGCGACGATGGCTCTCCAGGACGAACGGTGGTGTCGGTATCTCGTCCTCCTCTGGATCTCTAGCCTCTGCCCGAGCGAAGAGGAGGAGGAGGACGAGGGGGAGGAGGAGGGGGAGGAGGAGGAGGAGGAGGAGAAAGAGGAGGAGGAGGAGCCCTGCTCGTCGTGTCTCTCCCCGGGGCACCCCGGCGGATCGACCCGCGGCGCCCTTCGCGTTCCTCCAGGGGTCATTGTCGAACAGGGCGTCCTGCGCGGCGAGGTGCTCCACCTCGGGCCCGCCCGACGCCACGGGTGTGGCGAGGCGCCCCTCGCTCGCTCGATCGCTCGCTCGAGCGAGCGATCGAGCGATTGAGCGAGCGAGGGGGGAGGGAGGGGAGGGGAGAGCGGCCCTCTCGCTCGCTCGCTCGAGCGAGCGGGGGGGGGGGGAGGGGGTCAGGGAGCCCACAGAGGACGCAGGCAGGCGCCCAACCACGTGCACGAATACGGCCCCGCACCCCCAAAGCCCGCGAGGCCAGCCTCGTGATGCCGCGCGCTCGCGCAGGGCGCACCTCCGAGAAGCGGGCGCGGCCTCATCAGCGTCCACGCCCTTCTCTCGCTCCCGAGGGGAGGCGCCCTCCCGCTCGCTCGCCCGGGCGAGCGAATCGGCCTGGGGCTCCTTCGCGCGCGAGCGCCAGGGGGCCGCACGCGAGCGACGACGGCGGCGCGGCGCCCCGTGCGCGAGGGGCGCCACGATGGGGGAGGCGGGCGCCGACGCGGGGCCGCACGCGGGCAGCCCAGCGCGCTGGCGTCCGCGCGGGGAGGGGGGGGGGGGAACCAGCGTCTCGGGCGATCGTAGCATGGCCACAAGAGCCCAGATCTCCGGCGTTGCCATCGTTTCAGTCTCAGCGTCTCTCCTCAATGTCGGCCTCTGGGGCTCGCCATCGTACCCGGGGCCATAGAAAGTGGACGCAGGACGAAGCACTACCAACTGGGAGGGCCACGCACTGAACAACAACAACAACACCAACACCCAGACCAACACCACCACCACCACCAACAACATAAACAGCAGCAGCACCAACACCAACACCAACACCAACACCAACAACAACCACAACAACAGCAACAACAACCTTCACAACAACAGCAACATCAACAGCAACACCAACAACCTCAACGCCAACAACAGCAACAACAGCAACAACAAAACCAATATCAACAACACCGCCACAACCAACACCAACAACACTAGCACCAGTACCAGCACCACCAACAGCAACACCAACGACCATGCCAACAACAACACCATCAGCAACAGCAGCAACAACAACACGTCAGCCATTCAGGCCCGGTAGGTGGGAGGGGGCATCCCATGAGTTTAGCTGTCCGCGCGAGATCGTAACGTTCGAATATCCGAAGGTTGCCCAAGCGAGTTCAACATCTCTATGTTATGAAGATGCCTCGAACGAGTGCTCTACTTTTAAACATAAAAGGTCATCCGTTACAAGAATAATGGGTAGCACCCCAGATCGGCGGCACTGGCCGGATGCCACTTCAATCACAACAACGACGACGACAACAGCACCAACAACACCATCAATAATAACAGCACCACCCCAACAGCAACACCACCACCAAAACACCAACACCAACAGCACCAACAAACACAACAACAACTGCAACAACAACGAACAAACAACAACACCAACAACAACAGCAACACCATCAGCATCAACACCAACAGCAACAGCAACACCAACAGCATCAACAGAAGCAACACCAACACCAGCAGCAGCAATAACATCACCGACACCAACAACACAATCACTGACAACAACAACAATAACAACACCAACACGTATACTAAGGCTGGCCACTCTTACGTGCTCGCGTGCCGTCCAACACGTGTATCCTAAAACCTCGATGCCCGCCCTCGTCGTTTTCGATCGTGCCCCCCCTTGGGGGCATTTCTCCTTTGCCTGCCACATGTAATGAGTGTAGCTTCTGCAACAAGGAAAGAACAGGACGGATGAAAGGGGGAAGGAGAAGGATGGAGCACGGCATTCGCAGGAGGGGGGGCAAGGAGTAGAAAACAAACACATGGCAGAACCAGACGGGCAGATCGGGTGGGCAGACCCCAGCGGGCGGGTCGGGAAGGCGGGCCCAGGCGGTCAGGTCGAGCAGACGGGTGGTTGAAGCGTGCGTCCTGCATGACATCGCGAGGAAATCCTGGAGCGGTAGCGCGATGTTTCCAAGTAGATCGTGAGAAAGGCCAGAACGATTGCGCGATTTTCTCGAGAAAATCTGGAGCGGTAGCGCGATTTCCAAGTAAATCGTGGGAACGGCTAGCGCGAGAGTGTGATTCCAGCTGTTGAAGGCTCGGGGTCCTAATGAATGTTGAAAGGAAGTCCGACGCGAGAGCACGCTTCCTGCAGACATTGTGAGGAAATCCTGTGCGAGAGCTCGATGTCATAATGCAGGATGACGACCAATAGTTAAGTGATCAGGGGGTTCGATAAAAAAACAAACACGAAACAACTAGCTTCTTTGATTCCTATATAATTCTTCAACGGGAAGAGGAAGGCTCAACGATATGTCTATCAAGCGGGAAACATTGAGGACATCTCAAGCGGGAGCCGCTGCTGTTGTAACTCGGGGGTCAGGGGCCCAGTTCTGGTGACCCCCAGCTTGCCCTTGTAAGTAAACAGCTGGGTGCGAGAACTGGGAGAAGCATCTCAGTGCAAAATAGAATGGCTACCCGAGTTTGCAGATCAACGATCATTATTCGCTAGGAATGAAAACCCACACCAACAACAACAACGACGACAACAACAACATCAACAACATCAGCAACAACATAACCCTCGATACCCGCGATCGTCGTTCTCAATCGTACCCCCTTGGGGGTACATCTTTCTTACCTGCAGCGTGTATTTCGTGCAGCCCCTGAAGCAGCGTAAGAAAGGACGGATGGAAGTAAGGGACAGGGGACAAGGGGGAGTGAGGAGTATGGAGCACGAGAAAGAGAGAGAGTAGCAGGAGGGAAGCCAGGAGCCGAAAACACGTAACAAAACCAGGCGGGCAAACCTGGCGGGAAAGCCCTAACTGGCGGGTCGGGCCGCGACCCGGCCCGCGACCCACCCACATTGCGTTAATGTGAAATTGGGCGCCTGCGGCGGGCTCATTGCACAATTTGTAGAAGCTAGGCGACTTCGGCGGGCTTCTCCAGAGCCTCGCAGACTGCCGACGTCCTCGCCGCCCCCTCACTCTTGTCCGCCACTGCGGGGTGTTACGTATACATCCCTGTCCACCGCCCGCTGGGTCCCCAGGACGTCGGTTCCCAGGCGGTGGACGTGCATAGATCCCCGCCTCGAATGGATATCGTTGTCATATCGTGACGGGCTGAGTCCAGCTCGCGACTCCAAGTACCAGAAACCGGTAGCGGAAACGGGCGGCAGCGCAGATGGGCACGTCGTACAACGCGCACCCCATACGCGCCACGCATCATCTCTGGAGACTGCGCCGGCTCCCCCAGACCACGGACCCAACTCACGGCGTGAGTTGCACCTGTCTCAAGCGCAACAAACTGCTCCTCGAAAACATCGCCCTCGACTTCCTGAAGTCGATAGACAGTACACAGTCTGAGATATTCCTGGAAGATGCTCAGAAACAGGAGTAGCAGCAGAACGATGTTTGCTCCGAGCCGTGCCACCTTGCACGTTTAGTGAACTGACTGTATAGACAGACTTCATGACAGACAGTCGCCTGTACAATAAAAGCGTTTGAAATGCTCGGCTGCCTGTACCACTTCAACCGCCGCTGCTGCGATGCGAATGCAACCCTCAACTTTTCCGCTGCTGACAAATGTGAGCGGCAAGAAACGTATGGCTGCCATTCTTTCCAGACAAGGGCGAGTCAGCTTCAGACGGGAGCGGTGATGCTTGCTCGGCCTTCGATGCGCTTCTGTCATCAGAAAAAGTTGTATCATCACTGCCGTGCTTCATGCGAAAACTCTGAATCTTCCGCATGGAGATACGGCGTTTCAGGTAAAACCAACTCATCGTGCCTGTCTTGCCGAACGGTGTCGTCAAGGGCTCTCATCAGAATCATCACTGTCATGCGCGTTAATTGCGTCACCTCCATAGCGATGTCTCTGCCCTGCTCGTCGAGTTCACCGAAGGGCTGGATGTGTTTGTCCTTCCTCCTCTTGAGCCTTCGAAAGTGCGAGGCCATCGTGAACGAACTGAGGATCGTGCCAGGATCCTTCGTGCTGAAAAGACGGTCCAAATCAGCGTGCGAAACCACGGCCTGGTTTTTCCAAACGATAGCCGCCCCACATCCTATAGGATGCTCGTTCCGGTACTTATCCTGAGGCATGTTGCACTGCGCCGTGGAAAGCCGACGCTGAACGAGAAACTTCCCGGGGCGCAGGACGCCGTCGACGCGTTCCAGCACCCTGCGGAAGTAATGCTCTCCGTTGCTCAACAAATCGTGGCGTGACGATGGACGCGCCCCGCAAGTCGTCGAGTCATCACAACCCTCGACCTTGACCCACACTGCGCGAAACTACTGGCACCGACCGAACGCGCTGCGGCGATTGAGGTGGTTGTCGGGGTTCACGGCCAAATGTTTCTTGGCATCACGGCGGAACGTCTCGTGTGCTTCGGATACCCGCCACAGCGCTCGTAACGGCGGGCGTATGTCCAGCCCGCACGTGGTTTCACATTATGTGATGCTGCTGCCAGGCCTTCCACGGCACGGAGCCCGACAGGCACCGTTGTATTATCTTTCTCCTCCTCCTCCTCCTCATGCCTCCTTCCTCATCTTCCTCCCCCCTCCCTCCCGCCCTCCTTATCTCCCTCATCATTCCTCCCGATGTTCATATTCCTGCTCCTCCTCCGCCTCCTCATCCACCTCCTCCTCCTGATCCCTCCTCGTTTCCCCCCCCCCTCCACTTGGACCCAACCCTCCTTGTCCTCCTCCTTCTCCACCTGCTTCTCCCTTCTCACCGAATCTGGGCGCACTAGTATTAATACAATACTGGAGCAGGGATACCTGAAACCCCCTCGCCCCCAGGAGGCCACCTGCGGCCAGCACCCGAGACTGCTACCATGCAGCGCCACGTCCGTGCCATGCAACATCTTTGCTACTCAGCTTCCACAAGCGCGGTGGCGGGTATGCGCGTCAGCGCAGTGGCATTATTCCCTACCTAGGCTCTGCCTAGAAGGGTTCTTACTCTCTGGGCTTAAAAGAGCCGGGCAGTGGAAAGCGCCCCGGGCGGTTCCCCCA